TACCATCGTCTTTGCAGCCTCAGTTCCTGGCCCCAAAAAGGGATTTCGGGGGGGTAGAGGTCGTCCCATTCTCATTGGGCATTCATTTTTCCAATGACCCTCCTGCCCGCAATTAGCACACTGATTATATCCCAATCTACCGTAATCCGTTCCTACCCGAAAGTTACCGAATCCTCTTCCGCGTCCTCTCCCCCGCATATTGTTTTGGCCCCTACCCCTAGAACTTTGCCCCCTTCCCTGTATTACCGCCAGCAAATTTTGTTGTTGCCTCCTAGCTCCTTCTTTTTCTCTATTGTTGTACACTCTCCAGGCCACCTCTAACAATCTGTCCAGGTCTCGCAATTCTGCTCCTTCTAACTTCTGTAACTTCCATCTGATATCATCCCGAGACTGTCCCAAAAAGATCAATGCCAACTGTGCTTTAGCCTGCTCAGTTTCTACATCCAAATCTGTGTATTTCTTTGCTGTCTCTTTAAGTCTCTCCAGAAAAGCCGAGGGTGATTCTGTCTTTTCCTGTCTAACATTATACAGCTTTGACCAATTAACAGCTTTAGGCATGGCATTCCGAATTCCCTCAACTACCCACTCCTGATATCTCCGCAGATTTCTCATTCCGCCCGGTGTGTTATAATCCCACGTCGGGTCTTCAGTAGGAAAATTCTGATCTGTAGTTCCCTGGACCAATCCTTGTCTTACATCTTCCCGAACTCTTTCTCGTGCCGTTCGTAACACCGTATCCTTCTCTGTTGAATCCATTAAAGTATCTAGCAACACTTGTATATCATCCCAATCTGGATTTTGTGTTTTCATTATCATTTTAACCACACGAGCCATTTTATCCGGGTTTTCCCTGTATGTACCTGCCGACTGTTTCCAGATAACTAAATCACCAGGGGTAAAGGGTACTTTAACATACACAGGCCCTTCTGCCCCGACTCCCTGTCTCAGGGGAGCAATTACAGCACTAGAAGATTGGTCTGGGGGTCGGGACCCCATTTCTATCTTTTCCTTCTGCCTCGTTCTATGTGCCACAGGAGGGGAGATAGGATCATTATCATCCTCACTGTTAGTGCTGCTTTCACTATTGGCCGGTGGGGCCGAGGGAGCAATCATCAGGTCTATATTTTCATCATTTTCCTGGTGTTGCTTGCCATTATCCATAGCCAAGCATTCCATACATCTTTTGTCAATTTTGCAGCCCTGACAGTGAGAATTATTTGCTTGCAATATCATTATCCCACAGGACTTCTGCCACTCTTGATTATTCCTTAAACTAAAGAAGAGATCTACATAAGGCACTTCATCCCACTTTCCCTCTCTACGACAAAACAACATTAACTGCAAAATAGTACTATGATTCAAAGTCCCATTCTCAGGCCATTTTTCTTGACCATCAAGTTTATACTGCGGCCACCAACTGTTACAATACTCAATCAGCTTATTTTTCCGAAACGCCTGTTCAAACTTTCCCTCCTTCCAATTACTCAAAATACAACCTAACGGAGTTGCCTTAGGTATTTCTGGCATTATCAAATTACAATACCGACGGCAATATACAACAGATCAAACCAAACAATTCACAGTAATAGCAGCAAGTACCAGTCCCGCAGACTGGATTTTAAGTACTCAATTTCACAGCATGTGCCAGTCCCGCAAACTGGACTTTAAACATACAATTCGCAGTATCAATCCCGCAGATTGCACCTTACGCAAGTACCAGTTTTACTAACTGGATTTACCAAGTTACCATGTGACCATTACCATTACAATTATGACTTTTACCATATCATACCACTTTGCCGAACCTGCAGGGCTTTCACCCTGTCTGACAGACGGCGCCTAGGCTTACCACCCGGAGCTCCTTAGCCCAACCAAGCGCAGCTTTCGCCACGTCTGACTGGCAGGCTTTTACCCACAGCGGTACCGTTACTAAAATAAAGCACCTTTCTTACCTTATCAGAGGTCCGTCGTGAGCAGCGGAGGTCGGTCGCGGCTGATGGCTCCCCGAGAATCACTCGGCGCCGGCTGGAGCAGGATCAGAAGGGGATCCGCCTCAGCAATACCCGCGGTTGCACAATTTCATACGTATTCAGTAAATATTTCTTCATTATCTAATACATATGCATCACTAATTACTTCATCCTATTGCGACATCAGCCTCTCTTATTGCGCATGCTCGTCTTCCCTCTAGTGGTCGTTGGTGGTCGTCCCGATGAAGTAAGAAGTCTTCCTCAGATGAAGTAAGACATCTTCCTCACCTTGTCCTCTTCACCTTATCCTTTTGACTCAATTCCAGCGCCTGTTTTCCATCCAAGTTCTTCGATGTTCTGCTTGGTTTCTCTACTGTGCCGCACTGTGCCGCCCACCTGTTTCTTAGACAATTGGAACTCCAAAACGCATTCTCTTCCACCACCATTAGCCACCATGGATCACTAAGAAACTACAAAGCATATTCTTTCCCATCACCGTTAATCAGGTCCAGTCATCAAGACCTCGATCTGCAAATCTTGCAAGCACTCCCTGCTAATACAATTTGTTATTTAACTGTTCTCTAACATTTCTATATGATTTTGCTACTTAACTCTTATATTCCCTAACAAAGGGACCAGAAAAAAAACAAAAGAAGCTCAGCTTTATATACATTGCACAGGCCCTGTGCTAAAGAATATTAATGAAGAAGGTTATTCAACTTACAGTCCTCCATTGTCACCACATAGAGGCTGTTTGGAGAGCTCAACCCACCAGCAGTATAGGCTTGTAGGTCCAGTTGGTAATTTGTTCTGCCCTGAAGATCATGTATTTTCAAAGAATTTTTTGTTAAGTCAGTGATATTCTTAACTTTAAGTTCTGGATTCCCTGTTTGTTTGGAAGCAGTAAGAAAAGAATACCTTGTAAGAAAGGATTTACAAAGACATCCTCAGCTTTAGCAAGATTTTCTTGAAGTCAACATATTAAACCTCAAGAACAGTCTGTGTAACGGAAAACTGAAATAAAGAATCCTAGCAATGTTGCTTGCTTATACAGCACCAAACAGCTCAGGAGTGTGGTTTTGCCTTATATTAAAAAATAACTGTGCTACTCACACAAGGAGCTGATTATTTCAAATGCCTTTGTCACATATCAGGGGCCAATTATGCCAGTGTAGTAATGCAACTGAATTATTATAAAAACATCTTTTTTAAAAGTGTAATTAAATTATTAAATAAAAAAGCTTGAACAAGGAAATTGCAATCTATAGATTTTATTTACCTGATTCTGAAAGTCTAGGCTTTAAAACATCTTTTTCACCTTTTGTAAAGGAAAGCCGATATTCCTCTAAAAAACCCTGACAATCTTCAATAGGAATGTCTTCCCATTTTACCAATATAGAAGCTGAAGAAGTTTCTTCTACAGTAAAATTTGGTGCATGTTTTGGAGCTGTAGGGAGAATTATGAAGGAGAAAGCTAGTAAGAAACCACCCTATCATTAAATACTGAATCCTCTTAAGTGTTTCATCAGTTTTATTTCAGGGCTAGCATGTTCAACTTTTTCCTGGATACATTTCCCTCACTCTCAATAACATGTGAAAAGACTGAGCAGGTGATATTACAAAGATATAAGTATGTTGGTCTTATTGCTATTAATTACTGCAGCCTTCTTACAGACCCATACATGTAAATACCCTTCTTCCTGCAACAAACCCCAAAAGTCTGCATAAACATTCAGAGCATACAAATTGCTTAGCTTTTAAAGGTTTTAACTCTGTGATTGCATAGCTTCTCTTCAAATTAAACAAACTCCATATTCCTAACACAGAAATCAACCTCAGCTTAAAAGAAATAGTATTAGCAGGCATCACATGTCCTTATTCCAATACCTGGACCTCACTGAAAGAGTTACAGCAAATATTGTGTAAGGTCACGTAACAGGACTTAGTCTGACATTTGGCATTGATCTGTAACTACCTACCAGTGCTGAACTCGTGCAAGAATGCATCTATTTTGTCTTGACGGTTATCTGTCCAAAGGCAAATTTGAAGTTTTAGAATAAATCTATGCTCTTATGCAAAGTGAATACATTTCTCAGATCCTAAAAAGTTTCTTCTGCATGTCCAATGCATTTTTATTCCCCCAAAGTCTTTACCTTTTTACCCTGAAAGCTTCCAATCTGTTGAGAACACATATGGAAAAGCCTTCTGGGAAACTGTTCAGGATATTTACAGAGATGCAAATGACTGAAAGTTGAGTTTCTGGTAAAATTGCCTTAACTTCACCTTCAACCGTAGCTATGAAATAAACAACGGCATTTCGAAGGGCTCAGATTATGTCACTAGCTCAGTTTTCCAAGCAAACTATTCTAGCCGAAAACACATTAAACTTCAAAGTGAAATGGGTACTGTAGTTATAATACTCTTCACACAAGAGTTGTGATGTTAAAGGGTAAAGCCATGTTCATATTCTTGGAAACAGAAAGCATTCAGCCACTAATGCATCTCCAGGCAAGCAAAGCTCAGACCTGGATTAAACTGCAGTTAGCTGGATGGGGTGAACTTGGTACAGGAGGAAACACAAGTGCACTTCTCAAAGTGATTTGTACTCTAGGATGTAGTCCTAGTCTAAGAAGTACTTTTAAACAGTAATGTTGTGGATATCTTTTATATTTGCTGAGTTGTACCAAATGTGCTCATGTGATAAATGACTTAGTCCCAAATCGGGTTGCAATTTAAGTTTACAATTTATTAAATGAATAAATGCAAGCAAACAGCGCTGGGTGCGTCGGGAGCCTCTGCTCTACCAAGACGCACACCGTACAGTTCCTGTTTCTGGTTTATATCCTTTCTGCTAATACACATTCTTTAAAAGGTGGGTCTATGCGAATAACTTCCAGGAGTAGGCTTATCTCTTTCTGCGCATGCCCTCGGGGTCTTCTTGGCTCCCATCTGGTGGTCTTCCTGGCTGCCTTCAGGATTACCCCAGATTCCACATATACGCATGGCCTTCCTCGGCTCACCCTTAGGGTGACTCCAGATTTTTATGGTTTGACACCATATGGTTAACAGCAAAACTGGTCCAAACTAACACACAAGTATGTCTTTTACAAAAAGCTAAAACTATATACATTAACCACTCCATTTCTCTTAGGCCTGCGGTTATACAAGGGTATATAAGACAGAAAGTCACATTTCACCATGCGGCCCTAGCATTAGTCCATATTGACATGAATCAGGTGAACACATTTCACACTCAGAAGTTTACTTTGACTTGACAAATCAAAACAAGTTTTCTCCTCTCCTGTGGAAGTGACCCCATTCCTGTGGTTCAAATTATGCCTGTGCCTTCAACTCTGAAGACCACTGTCTTCAGAGCAAACTTCTGTGGCACCTTGTGCTTCCATGCAAGCTGAAGGACACAGGGTTATTGCATGCTGGGAACTAGAAGTGGCTGTAGAAATGTATTACAATTATATACAGAGAACAAGCAGAAGTCACTAGTACTGCATGGGGATTCTGGTCTCAATCATCTTTTGCCAACACTGAGCTAAAAATAGATACAGTCTACATTCACTTTGTAAAGATCCTGAACGATAAATTGCACTTACGCAGCTCTTTCATATGCCCAATTATGCTTTTCAATAACTGATATCCACTGGATTCGCAGCCATATAGTGAAAAGTTGTATCGCACGCCAGGTCTAAACAGAGCTGCAAGAGAAAATCGCTGTAAGAATATTTCACTTATGAAGAGTGATGCTTTTAGCTTTCACATGATGCAGACATATAAATACGTATAAAAAAATTACAAAGCCATAGACCACAGTGTTCAGTATAAATACTATTTCTACTTGTAATTCCTATAAAAGCTATGCCATCAGATGCAGTTTAGAAGCAGTAAGCAAATCTGGCTCCCGGAGAAATTTTGGTTCTAAAAAATTAGGATTCAAAACAGGCTACTCAAATTGCATAAATTGTTCTTTCATGAGGGAACACAAACTGAAGTTACCAGAAACAATCCCCTTCCTTTCCTCCCATGGCAGTGTCCTGGTTCCGGCAGGGATGGGGTTAATTTCCCCAAGGAGCCGGCAGGGGGCAGGTATTCCATACCATGTGACCCATGCCTGGGCTATAAGAGGAGCTAGCCGGCGAGGAGAGCAGTTGCCACTTGAGGGTGGGCTGCGGTGGCATGGGTCCGGTCGGTGTGCTTCGTGGCGGTACTGTAATCGCGTTTTCATCTTTCCTTTTGCTATTCTGTTAAATTGCATTCTTTTAACCCACGAGTTTTGCCCTGACGATTTCTTTTTCCACGATTGTGGGAGTTGCGTGAGCGGCTGCGTGGTTCTTTGTTGCTGGCTGAGGCCAAACCACGACAGGCCGTCATGTAGATCCCGCCCCCTCCTCCTCAGTACAAATGCATTTTGAAATTCCCAGGCTTATTACAGCAACAATACAAAAGAAAATCAGGGAACTCTCAAAAGTGATACTGAAGCACTTTAGCAATGAACTCCAGGCCTGAACTGACTCTACAAAACACAGACAGTAATCAAATTTCCATTTCACATGTCTATGATGGACGCATAGGTGTTTGATACTACGACGTCTAAATAATTTACCACTTCCTGGGATTTCCTCAAGTCAGGGGTGTACACTACTTTCAAGATTTTTTCTAAACAAGATGTGACTGTGAAACTCTACAGAAGTCAAGTGGGTTTTGCAAGAGTTCAGGTCCAGCCTGAGAGATTCTCCTGGCAGGACTAAGCGCAGAGGTGAATTTGCCAGCTTAAGCTCAGACCTAGAAGCCTGGTAAATCCCACAACATGCTGCAAGAAGCATCCCAGGGAAGAGCTCAGGAGTAGAGCAGTGCATCCTAGGACAGACACAGCATTGTCTGCTTAGAAAAAGCAAGCTCTAGCCAGCACAAATGAAAACATGGACACAGCATTGCAATTACAGGCAGGAAAGCCTATTGCCCCCTTCCAGGTCCCTCCCCTCTAACTTTCCCGTGTACACAGCTTCAATTTGTTTTCTCTAATGACATAATCATAGAATAGTTTGGGTTAGAAGAGACCTTTAAAGGTCATCTAGTCCAACCTCCCCTGCAATGAGCAGGGGCATCTTCAACTAGATCAGGTTGCTCAGAGCCCTGCCCAACCTGACCTTGAATGTTTCCAGGGATGGGGCATCTACCACCTCTCTGGGCAACCTGTTCCAGTGTTTCACCACCCTCATTCTAAAAAATGTCTTCCTTCTATCTAGCCTGAATTTACCCTCTTTTAGTTTAAAGCCATTACCCCTTGTCCTATTGCAACAGGCCCTGCTAAAAAGTTTATCCCCATCTTTCTTACAAGCCCCCTTTAAGTAGTGAAAGGCCGCAATAAGGTCTCCCTGGAGCCTTCTCTTCTCCAGGCTGAACAGCCCCAGCTCTTTCAGCCTTTCCTCATAGGAGAGGTGCTCCAGCCCTCTGACCACTTTTGTGGCCCTCCTCTGGACCCGCTCCAACAGGTCCATGTCTTTCCTGTGCCAAGGGCTCCAGAGCTGGACGCGGTACTCCAGGTAGGGTCTCACCAGAGTAGAGTAGAGAGGCAGAATCACCTCCCTCGACCTGCTGGCCATGCTTCTTTTGATGCAGCCCAGGATACAGTTGGCTTTCTGGGCTGCAAGCGCACATTGCTGGCTCATGTCCAGCTTTTCATCCTCTAGTACATCCAAGTCCTTCTCAGGGCTGCTCTCAATCCCTTCATCCCCCAGCCTGTATTGATACTGGGGGTTGCCCGACCCAGGTGCAGGATCTTGTACTTGCCTTTGTTGAACCTCATGAAGTTCACATGGGCCCACTTCTCGAGCCTGTCCAGGTCCCTCTGGATGGTATCACAGAATTCACAGAATTCACAGAATTCACAGAATTGTTAGGGTTGGAAGGGACCTCTGGAGATCATCTAGTCCAACCCTCCTGCCAGAGCAGGGTCACCTACAGCACGTTACACAGGACAGCGTCCAGGCGGGTTTTGAATGTCTCCAGAGTGGGAGACTCCACCACCTCTCTGGGCAGCCTGTTCCAGTGCTCCACTACCCTCAAAGTAAAGAAGTTCCTTCTCATGTTAAGATGGAACTTCCTATGTTCAAGTTTATGCCCATTACCCCTCGTCCTATCACTGGGTGCCACTGAAAAAAGACTACTCCCATCCCCCTGGCATCCTCCCATTAAGTATTTGTATGTATTAATAAGATCCCCCCTCAATCTTCTTTTCTCTAGACTAAAGAGACCCAAGTCCCTCAGCCTTTCCTCATAAGAAAGGTGCTCCAGTCCCCTAATCATCTTTGTTGCCCTTTGCTGGACCCTCTCCAGCAGTTCCCTGTCTTTCTTGAACTGGGGAGCCCAGAACTGGACACAGTACTCCAGATGCGGTCTCACCAGGGCAGAGTAGAGGGGGAGGATGACCTCCCTCGACCTGCTGGCCACACTCTTCTTGATGCACCCCAGGATGCCATTCGCCTTCTTGGCCGCCAGGGCACATTGCTGGCTCATGGTCATCCTGTTGTCCACCAGGACTCCCAGGTCCCTCTCCACAGAGCTGCTCTCCAGGAGGTCAGCCCCCAACCTGTACTGGTGCATGGGGTTATTCCTCCCCAGGTGCAGTACCCTACACTTACCCTTGTTGAACTTCATAAGGTTTCTTTCTGCCCAACTCTCCAGCCTGGCGAGGTCACGCTGTAAGGCAGCACAGCCTTCTGGCGTGTCAGCCACTCCTCCCAGTTTTGTGTCATCAGCAAACTTGCTGATGGTACACTCTATCCCTTCATCCAGATCATTGATGAATATGTTGAACAAAACTGGGCCCAGTACTGACCCCTGAGGGACACCACTTGTTACTAACCTCCAACTAGACTCTGCGCCACTAACCACAACCCTCTGAGCTCTATCTGTGAGCCAGTTCTCAATCCACCTCACCGTCCATTCATCTAAGCCACACTTCCTAAGCTTTCCTGTGAGGATGATGTGGGAGACAGTGTCGAAAGCCTTGCCAAAGTCAAGGTAGACAACATCCACTGCCCTCCCCTCATCCACCCATCTAGTTACTTTGTCATAGAAGGCTATCAGATTAGTCAGACATGACTTCCCCTTGGTGAATCCATGTTGACTACTTCTGATAATCTTCTTTTCATCCAGGTGCTTTGAGATGACTCCCAGAACAAGCTGCTCCATCATCTTCCCAGGGATGGAGGTGAGGCTGACCGGCCTGTAGTTTCCCGGGTCATCCTTCCTGCCCTTTTTGAAGACTGGAGTGACATTGGCTATCCTCCAGTCCTCCGGCACCTCACCTGTCCTCCAGGACCTTTCAAAGATGATGGAGAGTGGCCTAGCAATGACTTCCCCCAGCTCCCTCAGCACACGAGGGTGCATCCCATCAGGCCCCATGGATTTGTGGATATCCAGTTTATCTAACTGATCTTTAACGTGCTCCTTGTCAACCAAGGGATAGTCTTGTTTCCCCCAGACTTTCTCTGTTACCTGCAAAGTCTGGGTCTCACAAGGACTGGCCCGAACAGTGAAGACAGAAGCAAAGAAGGCATTTAGCAACTCCGCCTTCTCTGCATCATCCGTCACCACAGCACCTGTCTCATTCAACAACGGGCCCACATTTTCCCTAGTTTTCCTTTTGTCTCCTATTTTGTATCCCATCCCTCAGGCATGTCAACTGTACCGCTCAGCTTGGTGTTGTCTGCAAACTTGCTGGGGATGCACTTGATCCCACTGTCTATGTCACTGATGAAGATATTAAACAGTACTGGTCCCAATACAGACCCCTGAGGGAAGACTCCTAATGGAGACTTTATATACTAAACTTTTCTAAAAAGCAAATATATACCCTTTTAGAGAGTAGAGAAAAATCCTACATCTTTTTTGTGTCCTCTCTTTCCTCTTCTGCTCCTATTAGTCCCAACACAGCTGAGTTTCATTTCCCTGATCTGCCCACCAGCATCTAGAGACCTGGAATGTGCCCTGTTCCAGAAAATTTCAGTTGCTGACAGAAAGCCAACACTTAAAAAAACCTGCCTCATGTAAAAACAATGGATTATTCTTCCCCCCCCATCCTAAGCAGCACTGTTTATGTTTAGAATCCAAATAAACCCCTAAATCCTAGATTAACCATTATGCATTAGGCTGAGTTAGGAAGTTGTTGGGTGTAGCTAGAAGAGGTAATTTCAAAACAGTTAAAAAACATAGGATGATAACAGTTAATTCAAGACTGATATTTGGATTTAGTAAGGCTGTGTAAGAAATTAAAATAAACATAGTACCAAAAAGGGGTTCATTTATATACACAAGCACACAGCAATGCAACAATCCTTGATCTATAGCATTGGTGCTGCTCTCATTCCACTCGCTGCTCAGGCTCTCAACCAGAAAGTCTTACAAAAAACAATTTCTGACTTACCAGACTTTATCACTGTATCTATTGTATTTGAAGGAAATTTCTGCCAGTCCACACTATAGGGTTCAGACCCAGATGAATGACACCATTTTACTATGTAGCCACAGGTCATGTTGGGGTAAGAATTCCAAGAAATATAAATTCCATTCCCCATTGCCACAGCCCAATCTGTTTTGACATTGTCTGCAACAAAGATGACACAAAAATCCATCAGAGAGCAGACACTTATCTGTAGTCCAAGCTGGAAGAAAGCTTTCCAGCCACAGCAAAAAGGTTTTATAAACTGCAGCCATTTCTAAGAATGAGAGCCACGCTCCTAGTACTGTAAAATTTGAAGTGGTGCACTCAACTGTGCTTTCTGAAGTGCCGGAAATCAGACATAGCCTGCAGCAAATCCCTCAGACATCCTTAAGTAGAAGAGAGGTGCTGCAGTTCAGGACCAGCTAAAAAGCACTTTTTCAAGGTAAGGATTTACAGCAGATGTCAGGTTCAAATCTGACTTGACACTAATTTGGCAGGAGCCTCCAGCTATAAATTCCTGCCGTCCAACAGCAAAAGTCAAGTCCCTGGTGAACTTTACAGAGGCTCCAGTCTACCGAGTGTAAATACACCCCACCCCCCTCCCCCGCTTTTCCTTTAGTCTATTTTTTTTGTTTCTGATTATCAAAGTTTTAGCTGCCCTTGAAGTGGTCAGATCTGGGAATGACTGCTGATTCCTGCAGCTTCTCTCCATGGCTGTCTGTCAGATGGGACCCCACAGAGCTAAGGGATGTTTTCCAAAGGCCACCATTACAGCTGTGGCCTCATGACAGATCTGAAAAAACAAATCTCAGGATTTCAGTTTTTCCTTTTTCAATGTTCTCATTTATGCTCCCTATTGAGTCTATTATTTCATGTTATTAAAGCCATAAACTATGGAAGGCTGAAGGGCAAGGGCAGTTTTTAAGAAGCAATGTTGTCAAAACTTTACACTCACAGACGTGCTGTGAATGTTGAAGGACTGTCTATTTCTAAATAATCTTAACATATAGCTGAGTATACAATCCTTTTCTAGTTTGCTCATGGCAAAACAGACACACATGAGTAGAAAGACAAGTCAACTCCAGAAGTCTTTCAATACTTCTCCCTAAAAAACTATTACGCATCCAGTGAAACCACACTTCTATGATGCTGTAAGAGAGCATATTTCTAATTAGACTGCTTTAATTTTTCTATTTACAGGAAAGACATTTTACTGACAGTGAGCACATACTCTAAAAAATGCTTAAATACACCACACTTAATTTTATTTCCTGAGCTAGATGACTAGTAATTCACCCAGGGCAGTACTGCTCATTTTGGTGTATTTATAGCTGCAATCTAGACTAGTAGAAATAACTACTAGCACTACAGTACTACTGTGGTAGGGGAGCCTGTACCAGCCAGATTATACACCCCGACTCTCTGCAGAGCACTTTTCAGAGACAGCGACAAATTAATTAAGGCAGAGTACCCTTTGTTTGTGCTTTCACAGCAGATCTCAAGCTTCAGAGCCACTGCTCTCTTACGGCCATTAAAAGCACTTACAGACTGTACACAGGAAGCAGCCAGAAAAGATGTTTGGGCAGAAATGTCATCCAGTTCAGTGAATGAGTCATCTTTCATGACTCCAGTCAGTGACTCAGATAATTCCTATACCAACTTGGGAGCAAATCTTCAACAAGTACAAGTTGGGTAACGCCAAAGGGAACCTCAGACATCCAAGAGAAAACTATAAATGAATGAAAAGCTCCAGCTACTATCAGCCATCCCACACTGCAAACCTATTACAGAGGCCTCACAGAGTCTAGTTCTGTGTCTGGTCTCTTATTGCTGAAGGAGAGCTATAAAAGCATTTTCATTCATTCATTCAACTGTCCTGTACAATTACTTTTTCATCCAAGGAGCAGATTGAGAATATATTTTAGGTATTGGTGTTTTGGAGAAGCACAAGAAACATTAAGAGCAATGGTTTTCCTTTGCATAGAAACAAACTCAGTTTCTCTCTCAAAGTGAATCTCAGTCAAAGCACATTTCTTCCTGTGAGATGGCACTGTCTTATCAGAACCTGAGCTGCAAGACAAGCAACTGTGATACCTGTTCTCTGGGTGGGGAGGGAGAAGCAGTACCATATATGCTCCTGGCAAACAAGCAAAGAGGGGCCTTGCTGTGTAAATCTGTCCTCCTTGCAGAACATCAGCCAGATCTGGAGCTAAAGGCTTTGGGAGATTACACTCTTCCTGGCTGCAGGGAAGCATGGACTCTCAATAGCCACATGCAATATTATCTTCTCTCCAAGCTCAGTGTTAGGAACAGAAAATCATTATCTGGCTCAGCTATTTTCCCTTTACAAAAGCCCACAACAAGAATGACAGTGTTTTAATTTAATTTGAACTTCCTTTTCAGACCCCAGCTCCTAGTACAAGGATGCCAATGTTTTACCAACCAGCCCAATTAATACTCTGCAGAGCTCAGAGGCATTGAACTGACAGTTGTCCTCTTAAAAAGCCACACAACACTCCCAAAACTTTATTCTGATTCTCTTTAACATTTAACACTTTTCGACGTCTCAATAAGAAGACACAGAAATAAACTGAGCTCCCTAAACATCAGAGATTGACATTAATGCTTTGAAGCCTTATCCTTGTCGTCCCTGGGAGGTCTCCAGAAAAGTGCAACATAGTTGCAGAGACTTCACACTATCACCCTCCTTTTTATGCGGAGAGCACAACTAATTGGCAAGATGCTACCCTAAAAGCAAAGCAGTGATTTTTTTCTTCCCCCACTCAGTAGATTTGGGTGAGGAAAAAACCAGAAATCAAACACAAACAAACAAAGCATGTATCATCTTATTTTTCAATAAAAAAACCTCGCTCAGATATTCCCCAAGCTTTGAAGGTGTTTAGCTCTCTGCTGGAAGCACTCACCACTTGGAAGTTCCACGCTCGTTATCCTTGAAGAAGGAGACAAACCTGCATGGGTTTTGGCTATAACAGTAATTATACAGTCATTTTTTCCAAGCTTGATCACAGTACTGTTTGAGGGTTCAGTGACTTCTTTATACTCCAGTGGTGTCTCTAGCAGGTAACAGGACACTTTGTGAGACACTATTTTTCCATTGGCTTCAGAAAGGGATAAGGGCTATGAACAGACAAAGTGCACATTAAAACCAAAATGAAATAAACAAAAGAAGACATAGGATAATATGAATGTAATGTCCTGATATAGTCTGATGAATGTATAGGACTGCAAAGCAGAAAAGACAGTTACTCAAGTGTGACTTTGAGAATTAACACATAAGTTCGTAAGTTTTTAATTTTCAGCTGGAAAGTATTAAAAATTTAATTCTTCATGTGAAATGCTTCTCAATGCAATGTTTAAATTATAAAACTTTAATAACATTCTAATTTGGGGAAAAATATTTGTCTCAATGGATGGTTCTATAAAACGTTAAGAAAAGCAATCCAATTTATTGACTATAAACTTCATTCAATTATAAATGTGTAAAAAAAGGTTTTTTTCAGAGTTAGATATTTTAAAACTTTAAATGTCCTATCTACCTTCCAGAAGATTTTTAGACTTTTTCCAGAAGGACTTCTCTCTCTCCAGATATCTGGTCCTCTTGCAGGAGCTAAGGGGGAAAAAAAAAAAAGAGATTTTTAGATGGCTAAATTTAAAATATATGGCTTCACAAGTCCAACATTTTTTCATCAAATAATTAAACAAACTTACGGGCTTCCAGTGTTGTGTGCTCCTCTATCCTGCTCCAGTCACTCCATCTCCAGAAGTGGTCAGCAGCTGAACAGCACACCCTGAACTGGTATTTGGTACATGGGTGCAATGTTTTCAGCTGAGCTATATAAGCTGAGAATTTTCCACCAGGCATGGAGACATTGTGCTGTTAAAAATGTATGGAATTTGACACAAAATCACAGAATGGTCAGGGTTGGAAGGGACCTCTGGAGATCATCTAGTCCACTCTCCCCCCCACCAGAGCAGGGTCACCTACAACAGGTTGCACAGGACAGCGTCCAGGCGGGTTTTGAATGTCTCCAGAGTGGGAGACTCCACAACCTCTCTGGGCACCCTGTTCCAGTGCTCCACCACCCTCAAAGTAAAGAAGTCCCTCCTCATGTTAAGATGGAACCTCTTATGTTCAACTTTGTGCCCATTACCTCTTGTCCTATCACTGGGCACCACTGAAAAAAAGAGTGTTCCCATCCACTTGGCACCCTCCTTTTAAGTATTTGTAAGCATTAATAAGATCCCCCCCTCAATCTTCTTTTCTCTAGACTAAAGAGACCCAAGTCCCTCAGCCTTTCCTCATATGAGAGATGTTCCAATCCCCTAATCATCTTTGTAGCCCTTTGCTGGACCCTCTCCAGCAGATCCCTGTCCTTCTTGAACTGGGGAGCCCAGAACTAGATGCAGTACTCCAGATGCGGCCTCACCAGGGCAGAGTAGAGGGGGAGGATGACCTCCCTCGACCTGCTGGCCACACT